AATTTTTTCTCATTCTCACTAATCATTTTCATCGTTAGCTTTGCAAAGTGCCTAGACTACAATGATCACTTGCTGTGCAAAACGCAGTTGATGAGCCGCTGCTGCCACTGTTTCTTTTAGCCAAAGTCCCTGCACAGTGGGCAATTTTGGCTAGAGCAGGCGGACATGTGCTTTTAATTCAATAGTAACTTTTGATAAAAAAGAGCTAGAGAGCTCCGGTTTTCCCCATTGGAAAAAGGAGACTTGGAGGCATGTTTTCATAGTCAAAATTGTTTTCAGAAGAGTTTTTTGAAATCGGTTTTCTAGGAGATCTTTGAAAGACTACGCCGTTTGTAAAAATTTTCCAATAGGATTGTATGCGTTTTCTCATAGACTGATAGGCCGGGGTGTCTTCTTCAAAATGGGAGTCAAGTGTGACCTTGATTTTCCGCGGTTCGGGCGTTGTATCGGATTCGCTACGAGTCCCAGGACTGGCGCCCGGTGACTATTAGTAGCCTTGAAGACGAATGGAATATGAGTAATCGACCATGCTGAGTCTCGTGGCAATGTTTGTTTTTAGAAAAAGCTGTAAAACTCTACCGAAAAGCCAGTTATACGAAAATTCGGGTTGTCAGGCTGTTTTCATCTAATATTAAAAATTCACTATTCACTCAGAAAACGCGAGAACGAGCTCAAAATTTCAGAATGTAGAGTATTTAAGCTATTCTGTATCCTGCTTATAGGAGATCTCAAAAGAAATTTTACAAAACCGTAAGGTTTTCCAAAAGGTTTTCTGGAAAATCCAATAACAAAACTATGCTTTTTCTGATTTTTCGATCCTATAATCACGTTTAGCGGAGGAAATTAACCATATCCTGAAATTTTGAACTCGTTCTGATATTTTTGAGTAAATAGTGAATTTTTTAATATTACGTGAAAACAGCCTGAAAACGCAAATTTTCGTAAAACTTGCTTTTCGATAAATTTTACAACTTTTTCTAAAAACAAATATTACCACGAGGCTCAGCATGATCGATTACCTATAGTCCATTCGTTTTCAAAACTACCAATAGACACCGGATGGCAGTCCTGGAACTCCAAAAACCATGGGTTTTTGGAAAACTTGTCACTTCTTGTGGTAGCATTTGCGTATATATATGCCGATGTGCCGTGTATAAGAAAATTTTTACATCAGTCGATAGCCAGGAGTTACCGCTATTTACCTGTGAAATATCGCTTTTCCCGGATATAAACTCGGCGAACTATAACAGAAATACGACAAAATTTTGAGGACCTGATCATAATTACCCCAAGGTCCTCTAGTTGCCACGTCATCTGACAGAACGAGTCTAAGTTCAAAGGTTTGTCTGAAAACTAAAAAATCGCATAGTATGGTGTAAAACTTAAATCTTTAAATTATCTGTGAAGTGAATTATCAAACTACACATATTGCTCCAGATACGGAGCTTGATCATCTTCCATCATCTGTTCCGCTTTGTCGGAATCTACCAAAAAGAAAAGGCAAATGGGCCAATCACAAAGCTGCAAAGCAACCAACAATCATTCTGACATCAACACGATTAACTGATAAAGAAGAAGCAAAAATAGGCGAATCATTGTCAGAGATTTGAACACCGCTAGAACAGGAGCAAAAATGTATCAATTGTCAAGAACAATAAGGCCCAACGTCACATCAGTGTCCTAAATACATCGAACAACAACACAAACAACCAATGAACATTCAAGCAACAACAATCAATCAATATTCAATTTCAAGACAGCTCACGTCTGAACCTGGATTATTATGTTCATCTTGTCAGCTATCTTATCTTCAGAAACGATAGGGTAGAGAAGAACTAAGGCGTTTTTTGCCAGTTAAAAATACACTGAAATTATATGAAGTAGTACTAAATTAAACGGTCAACAAAAATGAGCTATTAGCAATTGAAGTTCAGGTTAGGTCGATCAAAATGCTCATCATGTCACTGTATGTGCCCTCTAAAGTGAAATTAGTAAAGGAAATATTTGATGAATTGATACCTCTAAGTCTCGTGATGGGCGATATCGATGCTAAAACATGTAAGCCTTGGTTCAAAAAGATAAACAGAAATGGCAACATCCTGAAAAGTTAGTAAAAGACAGTGTCTGAAAAATTCAGTTTAAAATACAAAAAAACAAATGCTCACGTTTGAAACACATCATGTCGAAAACAAGTTGACTGGATTATGTACATGGCGAAAATTTATGCTTCCATAAATGCACTAGAAATTCATCCAAGTTTTGGTGCTAAAACAGGCCACCGCCCGATGGCATTCGAAATTTGTGAAACATCCGATCTATTATCGGCTTCATCACGCGCCCGTTTCACGTTGAATCGAGCTGATTAGGACACGTATACGTGTCCATCGATATATCGTTTAGAACTGAATAAAACCCTCAGTCAACGAATACCAACAACAGTAGCTACACCTGAAGAAATCGAAGACTATTGTAATACAAAGAAGTAGTGCATCTTATTTTTCGATGTATTATACATATTCTGATTCTTCAGGTTGAGCTGATCACGAATATCATCTTCCTGGCCTCCAAAAACGCTTTCTTCCGGACCAAAATCCCAAAATCTGAAAAACCCTTAAAAATATCAAAATGTTTTTGTTTTGAAAATTCCTTCGCAGTGTTTTCCCAGATGGGTTTAAATAATTCAAAAAAAATCTCTCAGAATAGCTCCAAAATCACCAAACTATAGGTCAACAGAATATACACATGAACTGCCAAATGTTGAACATCTAAAAGAACATGCGGCTAAACTAGCTAAAAACTTTGTGCTAAAATCCACTGAAGTTACATGCCTTTAATGTAATTATTTTTTGATATTTTAGATTTAATAAACTTCCACCGCCATCTAAGAAATCTCATAAATTATAAATATTTAGCATAATCAGAGAACCATCTGGCAGAATTACAGGCACGTTCCTAATGCAATAGTATTTATCAATTTTACATCATCTATTCACAATGAATATAGAAAAATAACATATAACATTTGTTTGCTTTGTGCGTGTACTCAAAGGCGAAATTTGGTGTATACAGATAAAAAAAGTTCTTGTGTTCAAATTAGTCAAGAGCAAAACACAGAAACGATACTGATCACAATGAGCGAGTGGTGTCTACCTATTCCTAGATGACGGACACTATTTTCGGAATAAAATCAAGTTTTTTCAAAAGTCGAGTAAAATTCGAACTTTTTACTCTCAAAACTTTAAAAGCAAATGCTTTTTCCCCAATTAGGGTGCTCTTGTACGTGTTACATCAAATATATTAAACAAATTAGAGGTATCTGTGTCTTTTCTTCTTATTATCTATAAGTATCCATAACAAAAGTTGACATGTGGATAAAAATTTCAAAACATTTCAAAATAGAGATATGCATATGGCTCTAGATAAAAAAAAACAGTCAGACACAAGAGGGGAACAAGGAAGACGAAGTTTTTTCTTCACATCAATAATTATAGTGTACAAAAAAAATGTTTAAAATTAGATAACACATCCATGAAAGTAAAGTGGTTAGCGATGCGTGTCAAATATCGACCAAAACTAACGAAGCTATGTACACATTACCTACTGTCATCAAATCAAAAAATAAGCAAAATAATTATTTATCGCAACTGTGAAGGATCTACAAAAAAGCTTTCTGGACGGCAATTGGAATAGGTGAGGGAGAAAGAGAAAGAGAGAGGAAAAACATTTGATTTTATAGTATACAAATATCACTCAGTTTGAATACATACATCCTAACTAAATAAGTAAGCAAAAAATCGATCAAGGAAAGTAACAATAACCTATCATTACTAATAATTATTGTAGCTACATTTCCTGTAACAATGATTAATCGTATAGTTTATTTATTAACAGTAGTGATAGCTATTTGTCTGATTTATACGACATGTGAAGCACATAGAGATCATCATAAAGGTACACCAAAAAAGAGATCAGAGTCAATTTGGTCATTCTGGATTGGCACCTCTGATGATTCACAAAAACCACCCGATTCTGCAGCCCCCGATGATAAAAATTCAGTAGCCGATTCTACTGGAGATAAATCAACTGCCTCCATGGAAGCTCCAGCAATGAGCAGTTCAATGACAAAACCCATGGAGGAATCATCAACCAGCAGTGTTTCACCATTAGAAAAGGCTGTATGGTGCCGGCTTGCGAATGGTAGTTACTATGCGCTTGGGTACAAATACAAACAATCAAATTGCGTTGAATGCGAGTGCTTACGAAGTCGAATGGTTCTTTGTTCATTCTTGTCATGTGTGGTCAGATATTGTGTTGACGGTTCCAAACCCGTAAGAGTTGCAAATCAGTGTTGTTCGCAATGCCCTGGTGAGCCGCCAGCGAAAAGCTGCATGTACAACCAATTATCCTATCCTCATGGTAAAGGGAGAAGACGAATGTAAAATATGAGTACAGTACATGAAGTTCTCTTTGCTGTTTCAGGTTCAATAATAAAGAGTCAACCAAATGGTATGCAATGCTGGTGCCAAAATGGTGCAATTGAATGTCGTGAATATCAAGGTTCAATGTTCGACGGTTTCGGTTTATTGAACGATAATAGTTATATCTACGTTATTGTTGTAATACTCGTTATCATTTTACTTTTTGGTTTATTGTTATGCTGTGGTGGTACAGTATTTTTTTACTATTATTACCGCAAATATCAACAAACAATAGATGAATCATATCAACAGTATTGGAATAACGCTGGTTGGCAACCATTGGAAGAAGATGGCCAAGATACACAACAAGATGAGAAGCAAGCTGAAGCTGAACAAGGACAATTTGAGAGTGAACAATATTTAAGTGAGAAAAGTGGTGCTGATGGCCAACAACAATATATGCCACCACCATATGCTCTTTACAATGCTTCATATGTGCCAGAAGATATACACAAACAAGCCTAAATACATCATCTACGATGTTGATATAATATAACATTCTGCTCTTCCTTTTTATTTTTGGCGAATAAGAATCACACTTCACCATCTCTTTTTTTATTCTCAACCGAAGTGTGTCTCAAAGATGAAAGGAGAGTATATTATTGCTAACCTAAGATGTGTATAAACATTTATATTTTTTTAATTTAACGTTTGCGCTAACTCCCAATTCTTCAAACCACCCAAATTTTTTATCATCTTATTTTGCCGTTTATTTTTGTAAATCTTTATCCCTTTTAAACCAGAGACCACTATTATCTTATTTTGACACACCTCGCCATTCATACATTGAACGTACAGTGTTAGTGCTTTTAATAAAACAACTACCTGCGTTTTCGTTCGTTAAATATTAGAAAAATGAAACTCTTTTTTGCAACAATCAGCACATATGGCTGTTAGAAATGTTTGGTTCTCGGTTATTCGAAACAACCGGACCTCATCTTCTAAGAACTGGAAAACACGATTGTAAAAGTTGCGACATTAACGTTAAATTTCAAATTGATTAATCCAATCCCGTCATGCTTTTCAAACTTTTTGAAGCAGCTGTTGGCAGTTCTGATTTATTAATAATTATACGCTTTTATTCAAGTCGACTTGAACAAGAAGAGTTTATTCGCTCAAGTCCTTTTTTCTCGCTTACAACTTTTTTGCTAAAGTCGACATCAATAAAAGAATATAATTGTCAGCATGATCATCGGAGTGAGGTAGACAGTCAAAGTCAGAGTGAGCTCAAAAGTAGTTTAAAAGTTATAGCAAACAAATTTGTCAAAAACGCTTTAACTACAATTGTCAATACCATCTTGATATCACACTGGGTCGGTCAATAAACCTACTGGAAACTGTTTTTCTACAAATATTTTCTGACCTATTCCCAGATCGAACAATACGGTACGTAAACGGCCGTATTCGGCTAAATTACGGTGATTTTCATCCGGGAAACTGTGCACCGTATTACGGTTCAATTACGGTATAATACGGTGGCGTATACGGTGTTCGATTACAGTGCTACGTAAATGCGTTTTATTCGACCGCCGTATACTCGATGTGACTAGGCCGTCCGAAGTGAAACGCATCTTACAAGATCTCACAAGATCTGCCATTTTCTTATGAAATCTTGTAACAAGATCTTACTGCATGATCTTTCTTGCAAGAATCGATGACTCATTCTTACCACATAAATTTTACTATGATATTGAGTATATGAGAGAAACGTAACTTTCTGGTACAATCGATAAAAAAAATAAAAGTGTTCATAAAAAAATTTGAATGATACGTTTTGTTCCCCTGTCTTTGCCGAGTATCATATAAAAATTTCCCAACTGCCAGACTCATACTGGCTGAGTTAGGAGGGAGACAATTTTCAGTTTTTGCCATAGAGAATTTTTGGCAGGATTTT